AATGTTGTGTCCGCTCTACACTACTGCCAGGTTTCCTCTACCATTGAACGCATTGTATCAGTACGGCATGGCCCCAACCAACCACAACCGGGGCGCAGTTGCTTCAGGTCGTCGGTTTTAATTTTCCAACATATATTCTAAAATAAGCATAAGGATCTATGTAATATTCATCCCTTATTTTAGTCCCCAGCCCTTTCATACCCCATACATATTCAGAAATGTATGCCCAGGGACCCAAATTGCGTGCTTCTTACATCGGCCCCAAGTGTTTCCTTCTTGTTTAGGTTCATGAAGATATTTCTGATGGTGATACAATTTTTAGCAACAATATGAGGAAATTAGGCTTAAATTTGTGCTTTAAGCTGGAGCGTTTGAGTTATTTTATGAAGAAACGAGTCCTAAATTTGGAGTGGAGCGAGTGTGTTCCATCGAAATAATGAAGCTTTCATGGAGGTGGTGCTGGTCTGGTTTATAAGATCGTACAGCTTGGTAGATGGGTAGGAACATTTGGAAGGAACGTGGTCCTACTCTGCATGATATCGTAACCCATAATCATGCTGCGGTTTTCCAAATGTAATATGGCACGAGGGGTTTTGACGATACTTCGGTTGAAGGAGCAGCGTGCTACGTCACAGCAACCCACATTGCTGAGCAAAATGGCTCATCGATCTCATACCTGTACCAGGAACCTCTGAATATCCGATAAACATGTACTATGTCTGTGCTCACGTGTGCCATAAGCAGGTTACATGTATCATCTTTGGAAGATATGAAGCTCTCTGACAAGCATGATAACGAAGATTAAAGTTGTCATTACTGCTCTTCTGTGTACCTCGAGCACTAAAGGTGTTTCGGAGGGCGAAATTACGGCACACAGCGCATCTACGTTTATGCTAATAAATTTCAGACTAACGGAACATTCCGAGAATCCGTGCCTACGCCTTCTGATCAAATATACATGTTCTTATAGAACGAACTGTGTATTAAATCACAATTACAGGCGCTCAGTTGCGGCTCATGACTTAAGCAACGTCATACAGCACGCATTCCTGTGTGTGATGGTTTATTTAAGCCTTTAGTACTCACGATGTCTTGTATTTATGACATGCATCCTGTTGTGTGTCATTTAATAGGGCCGTCCACGCAACAGTAGTATCCACAAACAAAAACAAATCGATACTAAGGTATCAGCATTTGTTTATGGGGCAAAGGTGGCTCGCTACATGTTTCGACCTTCACGAGGTCATCATCAGGAGAATTTACAACAATTCGATCTTAGTTCTTGAATTGTGTTTTTTTTTAATGTGGATCCATATTATTACAGTTTATTTCATTTTGATAACGAATACTATTTTTTTATTGCTAGTGGGGTGGGACTAAGTCCCTTGTACTGCGGCCACTTCTGGCCTATTGTACCAGCCCCAGATGTTAGGTGAGGGTGATTGTGAAGCAATTGCTGGAATGGAAACCGATGGGAAACCGAAGTACTCGGAGAAAACCCGCCCCAGCGCCACTTTGTCCACCTCAAATCCCACTTCACCAGACCCGGGATCGAACTCTGTCCGCCGCGGTGGAAAGCCAGCGACTAACCGCTTGAGTTATGGCGCGGCTCCTAACGAATACTACCTTTCTGTTAAATTTAATCTAACAAATACACACAAAAATAATCTAATAATATAAAGTTTTAATTAAGTTTCAGAGTTTAAAACTCGTATAAAAGAGGTAAAAAAGGTAAAGTTGGCCTTGTGCTTAACTAATTAAGCACTACGCCATTAAGGCGTATGGGGTAGTGGATATATAGAGCCACATTTTCTTGACCTCGGCACTATTTTGAGGTGAGTGGTCAGCTTCACGCCCCTGCCGCTTTACCCCCGGGGAAACAGCCCCCGATACCCATTGGATAGGGGGCTGGGTGGGCCCCAGAGCCAGTTTGGACGACTTGAAGAAGAGAAAATTCTTGGCCCCATCGGGACTCGAACTCCGGCCCCTCGGTCGTCCAACCCGTAGCCAGTCGCTATCCCGGCTCGTGACTAATATATACACTTTCCCACCTCATGACTCGTGGTACGCGGGTTCAAATACCCGGCGGAGGTCGTCGAATTTTTAAGGGCGGAAAAATTCAGGGAACAAGTCCTCCGGGAGGGACTTTAAGCTGTGTGTCCCGTGTCGTAACTTTACGGCACGTAAAAGAACCTCATATCCCCAAAGGGGATCACTGAGCCAAATTCCAGGACGTTTCGGCCCAACAATAGCCTCTAAGGCCTCTGATAGATGGGGGAAGCATTATAGACACCGCTAAGCAAGTGGCCGAACTTGCTTGCTCGGCGGGACTGATGGTACGCACCATTTATCGGTAGGGTATAGAGACTGGTAGAATATCATAGAGGGAAGCACAATAGATCAAACTGGTCGCGGTGCATGGGGAAACCCACCCTCTCTAAATAACTAACTAACTAATATATACACTTTGGATTTAATATCGATATAATTATCAACGTAGTTTTATTCTTAAAAGTAAAATTTAATTTTACAATTTTAAATTAACTACTCGAATTATGCTTTGATTTATACGTAGAGTTCGTTCTAACTAGGCTTAAAATTAAAGTAATTTTGGGGGACTTCCGGTTTTTGGTTGTGGTAAGATGATAAGTCGTAGGTGGACGCAACATGAGGGGGCAATTCTTGGAATTTCCGAAGCGTTTATTTTACTTCTAAACGTCGTGTAATGGTCTCCCAAACGTTTTTCTTTGTGTCACTCTCAGCTACTTTTGTTTTCTGTACGGAGAGAGTTTAAATGCCTCTACGTTATGTGCACATGTATACGAAGGGGTCCCCTTTGTTGTTGTTGTTGTTGTTGTTGTTGTTGTTGTTCAAGTTGAAGCTCTGTCTACACCTGTATGTCCGATTTAATTGCAATGTTTGCTTTGCCGTGATTGTTAACAGATTTCTTCTGTCGCGATTGTCAATTCACATTGTTGCAGTATCTTTAAGTTTCTGTTAGTGCGTAAAAAGTGCCCCACGCATTTCTAGTTGCATTCACAACCCTCCGGTGCGTATATGAACTCTGCTACATACGTCCGCGATAATGAAATGTCGAGAGAACCGCTGAACGGAATTTCATTAAATTTGACATTGGACAGATTTAACAAAATTTCTGGACACATTGCAATATTGACTGCAATTGGACAATAATGACGATAATTTTGAAAGAAGACTTACGTTCGTTTCTCCGCGTAATTCATTATTTCATAATTTTCGTGGAGAAAAAAGTATTTCTAACAAAAGCTGTAGCTCAAAATGAGGCGAACATTTATGACCAGTGAATTTTTCTGCATAATAGGCTGGTTTTAGGGATAAACGGGATAGTATGGCGCATTTTTTTCAAACTTTTACGTTGAACAAACATAAACGGCCCTCAAGCACATCTTAGGATTACCGAAGTCTCTTATTCTCAATAATAATTAAACGAAGTTTTCTATAACCTGAATTTATAGGTCCACGTGTAATAAATATGTATTTAATTAAAATGTAATTTATTCTGATATCGACGCCTCGTATTTTATGTCGTGGAAACGAAATATACAAGAAACAGATGATTCGGTTGCTTCACCAAAAGATGGCAGTTAAGAAAGAAAAAGAGTTTATACTGTGCTGAAATCAGGTTTGTCTTATTCTTTCCATTCACCGCCATCTCTGAGTCGATTGTCTAGAAAATGTGGGAGCCTCAACGTCTCACAACCCTGTGGGCCTCCACGGCCTGTTACAGGGATACCTTTACCCTTTCTTACCTTTATCTTTTATATACTGTATTTACGCATGTATAGGCCGCACATTTTTTGCCCAAAATTCAAGAGGAAAACTGGGGTGCGGCTTATATTCGNCCTTTCTTACCTTTATTCTTTTAATATAGTTCTTTAGTTCAATAAGTCTTCGAGTCTTTTACGATTTATTCTACAGAATGAGTCTTTGAAGTGTACACTGCACACATTCAGAATCTTTTTAGGTGCGTTATATGATTTATTTCAATACTAGTTTCACATAATTGCCAGCCAGACAGACGAAGGAATACTGGATGACCGAGAAGACGAAGACAAGGAAGTCTTTTCTTAAACTGTAAAGTATTCCATCTGTAACGCAACAAAATCAATCCTTTCTAAGAAGACACTACAAGTGTTTGCTAAGTATTTTAAATTGTGATTCACTATATATATTCTTTGTTCTTGCTGCTACATGTTTCGGCCACACATGGACCATCATCAGGCAACACTTATTATTTGGGGAGACCACTGCACTGTACACTTTGTCTTCTGTGCCCTTAGCCAGATCATTATTTTGGTTGTTAATTTTCTTCATAGGATATTTAAGTGTTCCCTTTTAATGTCAGCCACTTATGTTGTGTATGTTTTAGTGTTGTTTTCCTTGTGCTCTTTGTAGTCCTTGATGGTGGTGGTGCATGTCACAACATCAACCACTAATTTCACATATCCGACTCCAGTGGCTCAGTATTCATTCCCATCGATCAGTTACCTAAATACATATTTCATGCAGCCACCATGTTTTTACATACCACAAACAAATGCTGCTATATTTATTTAAGAATCTATTACCACACATAATTTCAGATCCCTTTGTTATGTCATAGAAGTTGATGTTGCTGCCGTGTTGATCTTATTGATGTAAAGATGTGTTGAGACAGGGTAGCATTTGATAACATGCTCACACCATTCTGTGACATTGCTCTGCATACCGTGTTTCGTACCAATCTGTCAGTTACTAATGGCATCAGGAGGGACAGACACGTGGATGTGATGGTACATTAAGCCCACTTCTCCTTCAAAGAATGTTTAGTAGCATAACATGTGAAATTGATGCAGTATATTTTTATTTGATTTTTTATTCTAAAGTTGATGAACGAAACTGACAATATGTAAGCGACTTTGGTAGAGTGGTGCAGTAAATATCTGAATTTCTGATTGAGTTACTGTCGTCATTCTTTGCAGGTGTGAATGTGGTGGCCGGTGAATTCCGAATAACAAATGAGAGGTTTGAGTCCAGCCTGAAGGATGAGACTTCAGCAGATTTCAAACAGCTGGCTGCGCAGATCACCCAGCAGGTGAACATAAATAGTGTTAAGATATAGGCACCATCAAGGGGGAGTCAGACATATGCTGACCCCCTGGTTTTTTGGGAAGAAAATCAGAGCTGGAAAAGAAGGAATTTACCAAACATTAATACCAAAAATTAAATTCTCAAAGAAAATTATTCTTCTGCTCCCATCCCCTGCGAAACAAATCGTAAGAGCACCATATATGTAATCAGGCACAGTTGAATTGTGTCATGATGCATTTTGTAGGTAAGAGTCTGCCACTTCCTTAAGTATGTAGAAAGTAACTGTACTAAATATTGGATGATTCATTCTTGATTGCTTTTTAGTTTCTTTGCTGATGCTGTGGGATCTGCATAGGATATACAGAATTACATAACAGGATGACTGTGAATCATCAAGGGAAGAAATAGTGACATGGTCAGCACCAGTGTTTACATACTGTCTCAAATCTTCACCAGCAGGAATCGAGAGAAGCCATGAAAACCTAGAAGATTTCTATCCTCTGTGATATGACGTCATGCAGGCTGTTGAAAGTCACCTGATGTTTTGGAGGAACATTTTGCCTTCTTCAACCCTGAAGATGGAGATGACATGTTCTTTAAAACGTCAGTTGACTTTCAATGGACTACACAGCTTTATACCCCAGAAGATAGAATTTTTCATAACCACCAGTGTGGGAATCTCAAATCTTGTATGAAATACTTTGACTGAAGTGGCTGAGATTAGACTTGTAGACTTTGTGATGTGTACTGTCATGTTTGCTGATGGTGATGACAGGCCCATGCTGTCACACTGTGAGGAGCTGATTAATTAGGCATGCTGGCTCAGTCAGTAGTCCTTTAATTAGGCATGCTGGCTCAGTCAGTAGTCCTTCTGTCTCGCATTCAGGGGCTTCCAGTTTTAAACTGCCTGGGGCACTGACTGTCTTGGATCATTACTGGCTTTCCTCAGTCCCTGTATGCAAATGCTGTCATAGTACCTTGAACTAGGCCACTACCACTTTCTTCAACATCCTTTCTGATTCTTCATTAATCTGTTATTCCACAAATTGATGCAACACAATCTAAACAACTGACAGCATCATAAAACAGACAATAAACTCAAATAAAAAATTGATTGTGACAATATTTATTAAACTTCCATTGCATCCTGTGAATATTAGGCACAAAATTGGGAAAAGAATTGACGTTCTTGTTCATTTATAGGCTATTTAACCATGCTGTCAGAAACACAGGCTATATAACATTTAATGACTGGATGACAGTGAATACTGAACTGAAAGAGATGTAGAAGGAAGCTGTTGTGGCCTGATTTTAAAGTGCTGTCCCAGTATTTGCCTGGAGCCACTGAAGATAGCCACTGAAGTCCTGCAGATGGTTGATGACCTGGCTGAGATTTCAGCTGTGCACGTACCGAATAATGTTCAGAAGAATTATTCTTTGAACAACCTTGCATCAGTTCTGCAGATGGGCTGTAGTGAGGGGTTTGAAATATGTAAAGGTAAAGCTGTCCCTTTAACAGGGCACAAGGTAGCGTAGTCGGTTGAGGGGCTATGCTAATCCTTCCAGCCGCACTAGGCCCTGGGGTTTACTCAGCCTCTAACAGAAGTGAGTACCAGGAATTAATTAAATAATTTTCCTGGGGAGTAAAGCGCGGCCGGCATGTAAGGCTGACAACCTTACCGCCATATTTGAGCTGATTGTCTAGATAGTGTGGGACCCTCAACGTCTCACAACCCTATGGGACTTCATGGCCTGGTACAAAGATAGCTTTACTTTTACTTTTATCCCTGTAACAGGCCGCGAAGGCTCCCCTCCCCTCCCCTGGATGTCAGCTCTATGTACTGGCTGCCCTTTACCCTCCAGGAAGATTCCTGGTACTCATTTCTGTTAGAGGGTGAGTCGACCCCAGAGCCATAGAGCAGCTGGAAGGATTAGGTAAATTGAAAAAATCCACGTCATTGGGACTCGAACTCATGACCTTCTGGCTTGTACCATAGTGCGCCCTAGTTAGAAATATATACATATTATTGTTTTATTTATAATTGTTATACAATAGATAAGTCTGCTATATGAACATAATATCCTCATGAATGTGGTATGGCAATTTTAATTATAACTTTGCAGGATTATTACATCTGGGAACTCACATTTGCAACCAAATGCTCACTTATCATAAAATCTCGTTAAGTAAAGTACTGAGCTTCATTCTAATGGCAAAATGCTAGAAAGCTAGACCATAGAATAAACAGTAAATTCCCACCCCTCTAATCTAAACTAATAACTGTATATAAAATTTTGTGATAATGGATAACATCACACACTGTTTTATATCATTTGGCATCCTTTAGGTTTGAGATGCAGCAGAGGAGCATAAAAATATGCACAGTTATTTGACAGTAGCATGCATATGCAGGAAACTTAGGAGAACTAGTGAGTGGCATTTAAGTTTGGAATCATCAGGCTGCTCAGCAGCAAAAGGGCATCAGGTCTTCATCATTTCCACATAACACAATGTTTGTAAGGCCCAAAATTCACTAAATACAAGAGGGTCCAAAAAAATGTACTCACTCTATGATAGTCAATATCTTTCGAACAAAATGACATGTAGTTACAATTCTTGCGTGGAAGTGTAGTGTAATGTTTTCTCAACAGATGGCGAAGGTCACATGAATCACGTGAGTGTCGTGCTGCTTGCGCGCCGCGAGCAGAAGACAGCAGCAACAATGGCTGAATGGTTGTTCTTTGAGCAACGCAAGGCTGTACTGAAGTGGTACTGGAAGTACAGAAACATTAAAGAGGTACAATGACAATGGCAGAATGAGTTCGGAACTCAGCCACCAACAGCTCCTGTAAATCCACACGTTCGCATGGGCAAGGAAGTGAATCTACTGGCTGTTAATGTGTGGTGTGGTCTGTCATCGCGCGGTTTGATTGGTACTTTCTTCTTTGAAGGTACTGTAACTGGTCAGGTGTATCTCAATATGCTTCAGACATCGATTTTCCCTGCCATTCGAGAGCTGTTTGGAGATGAGAGAGTTTACCTACAACAAGATGGTGCTCCACATAACTA